CAGTTCTGTTGGTTGGCTGAGAGTACGACTGTGCGGCCTTGGAGGGAGAATGCTAGCACATAGCAATCGGCGAAGTGGATATTGGGTTGGGCAGCGCTGGTAAGACTGCAGCTCATGGGAAACTGATCACGTCGAGAGAACTCATAAAAACCTGGCACGGTGCACTAAAGGTTCTAACCATCGTCGATGAATCTTGGATTGTCAGGTTTATGTCCTGACAACAATATTCCAGATCCATTAGATACCATTGGTGGACAAACCCGTTCAGTAACAACACAGAACCCTCAGGACTATCTTCTTCATGTTAGTAAGACTGCGAAAGACATCTATATTCTCTATCACTGGACTCAAAAATCTCGGGCCCTGTTGTATGCTGTTCGTGAGATGAGAGGACGGCTGGTAAGTACACCCTTATATCTAATTCCTTGCCTTATGTCGACATTACTGACAAGGATGCAGCTGCACGAAGTGCCCTCTGGATAGACATAGTTCATTGCCACTCTGGATAAACGCCCCTGTATCTGGCCAAACGGCTTAAAACTCACTTGGGGCACAACGCAGCAAGTTCCTCAATGGTTCGTCTCCCAGCTTCCATTGCAGACAATACATTCAGAATGTGACTCGGAAACGGTATACTTAGTCGGAATTAATCGGACGCAATATATTGTGGATGATATGAACTCGGTGTTCATGGGGTTCTACGCCACGAAGATACTCAAATCGAAGACTGTAGAGCTGACCAGGAAACCCACGCTTCCTAAGCGGTCTGCCAGCTCGAGACAGTGGCACCCCGGGAGTCTGGGGTGGCCTTTGTTCAGATGATGGATGATTGCAACAACTTCACCGGCTATAGCCACGAAGGCGCAAGAACAGTACCTTCTGTATCATACGATGCCGCAACCTGAAAAGCCGGATACTTCTTCAATATGCGGGGCACACTCTCGGACCATTGCCGAGATATAGAATTATCGGAGTTGACTTTGGAACTACAAGTATATTACTGTATCGCGCTCAATGCTCACTCACTTGCTAACCACGTGGCCCATGGAAACAGTGGGACCTGGGACACTATAGCCTCACACCGGATTTCCTTTCGGCGCGATGACAAACATGCCCAGGACAGGAATACCCATCCTGTGCGAGTTCGCTATTTGCTCACCAGAGGGCGTGAGAGCAGCAGCAAATCCGGGGCCTGATCTTGCGGTATGCTAGATGCAGAAATCCACGATAATCAAATGTCCGCATTCTCAGATCCGGAGCACAGAAGTTTGCTCCGTCTGATGATGGATGGTGGATAAGACGGAATCACCGATAAGAACCCCAACTATTATCGGAACCGACAGAACGAGTGTGCTTCAACCTGAAAGAGAACAGATGGGCAGTTTGAGCACGGGCCCTATCGTAACCATCAAGCGAGGGCAAAGGGTTTTGCAAGGGGTTCTAGAACTCTCCAAGATCACGATGCAAGAGGCATTAGAGCTGGTTGCTTTGGTCAACCATTACCAAAGACTGACGGCTTTCATGCGAGCTAGTACATGGCTGGATGATGATGTTGCAGTGACCTGACGTCGTTGCCAAAGGCTGGCTTCGCTGGCGGGTTTGCCATGATATATGGGTCGGAAGCGCAATCTGAATGGCCCTCCACTGGTAGACCATGGATTAAACCCCTTTTAAGCGCTGCTGATGGAGACCTTATAATGGCTACTGCTATCGCATTCTATCCCAACCGAACATGCTAATCGCATGGCACGAGCGTCCTTGCATCCACTGGTCGTCTAAACAGTTCATTTAAACTACTCCATTCAGCCTATCCTGGGACCAAATCACTTTTTTTTTTCTCCAAAGTTCGCACGCCAATGCACCCTACGCCATCAGTGAATACACACTCCTGCTACAGAGCATTCGTCTCGCAGGAAGTGTCCAATTTGTTGCAACACCCGACCTTTTATTGCAGAAGGGTGAAGCAACACCAAATGAGAGCCGGCGGAACGAATCACAAAGCACCTCAGAGTAGCATGGTTCAAGCTGCTCTTGGACTGTGTGTATAAGTTTAGGCGCCAATCCAATGGCCCAATACACCCACAAGACCTGACCTTCTTGTACTCAATATCATGTGTGTGCCACCTGACAAAACCAACACGAAGAGTTCATTCGTTTCGTCCTTTTGTCTGGAAGACTCTATAAAGATGACGGGCTGTGTGTGTCCCTGCTCTGAGTACCTTGGATAAGATCACTGAAATGGATCTATCTGTTTGACTTGAGAAGATGTCAAACCAACGCCCCAAGAAACCTCAAGCTATGATCTCCTCAGCCTAACCAGGCTCGTCCGATCCTTCCTTTGAACCACTATTCCTTGGGTCCGATGATAGGTTCGACGACTCTGCCATACGAGTTCCTGGGTGATGCAGAAGACACCACGGTTGGCACCCGGATGCGGCTGTACGCCGTCCGCCAGCACGGATTCCAGTCGTATTTGGATCTCAAAACTCAAGTGCTCTCGGAACTTTCTTCTTGTGTCCCAAGACGGCAGAGCATGACCAATTACCTTTGAGTTCGTTCTCATCTCATATGGATGATACTGAGTTATGGTCTTGCTGCATGTGATCTCCGAGGATGTCTGGGCGATACTTCTAATTGGCTATGCATATGAGTTGAAGATGGGATTCCAAACCTGATACACTTCAAAGCCATGATGCTTCGGGGCATACAAGACAGTTGTCACGATGTGTCTCCTAAGCCAACTGAGCGTGGCCAAATAAGTCTTTCGGCTGTGGACATGCCCTTCCTTGACCACAAGATAGACGGTTGGCTATGTATGGGGTGGGGGTGTGTATATCCCTCTCATGCACGGGGAATACTGTCAAAACCTCTACCGTCCTCTTCTATTGCGCCTTGTCCAATCCAAAGGCCAGTAGACAGCAGCGGGTATACGCGATTCCGGGGCAGTCTGCAGACCGTCTGCATATGACAAGATACATCACAAGGCGATGGGGATGGTATAAAGGTACGCTAAGAACAGGAAATCGACATTCTTGTCGAGAAAGACTGGTCTTTGTGAAACTGTGAAGAACATTCCTTCTCAAATTTCCAAACGGGGATACCGAAAATGACTATTGCCACGAGAGAATTCCTACGTCTTACGTTCTCCGAGTTTCATCACCTCATGAGTGATGACATATTTTCTTCTTCTTTCATCCAACTTGCGAAGTAGCAGCGTTGATGATGGGAGATTTGCAAGGAGAAGAGCATATTGCATAACTACTCAAGCAATGGACTGTTTATATCATATCAGTTGGAGAAAGTGTCAAACCAACGACAACCTTTCCGCGCAACAGCTGGCGGACATACTCGTCAAGGATCAAATGTGGGCCTTTTCGAGCACCCAGTCCAAGCAAAGCGCTGCGAGAAGTCTCGCATAATACCTATTTCGTATTCATGATAAGACCAAACCCCTTACAATGAGTTCATCGTGACGAAGAACTGCGAACAGCATGGAAGTGGTAGAGAACCAGCTGGTATATAGAAAGAGACGGATCAAGCAACATTCCCACACATCACTGAGGGATATAAGAAATACTCCGGCAAATACAGGGCATGATTCTATCTATGCCCTTCAACATCTCTGCTGCCACCTTTCCTTCCGATCTTTCCCCCATCTTGTGAGCAAATAGCATGGATGATGATCCGTGGCTCGAAATACATGACAATGTCGGATATCACTACTTGTCTTTAAGAAGAACCTGAGTTACATACTGTTTTCCTACTACTATGACGCTCATTATACTCTCATGGCATGAACTGTTATCACTATCTCCCTTTCTACATACTATTTCCCGCACGATTTCACAACGTTCAATGCAATTGGACACCACCCCAAGACAGCAAAGATCCCAGTTGTCAGGAAGGCATGCATTGGCAACAATATAGTGAGCTCCTGGTTATTGGTTTTGGTATGTGGGTGTGCATGACGAGCCCACTCATGACCAATCTTTCCAATACACAGCCACCCTCTGCCCTACTGTCGTGACCTAGTCTATTGTGTTCCCACCTCGGGTGAAATTACACTGAAAATTCGGGGAATCGATGGTCCAGACAGATGTGTACTTGCGGATGATCTCAGGACTATTATCAAACCACCGTTCCTGGATGGAGGATATGTGATATATATATATATACATCACGTCATGACTGATCCAGACTTGCATTCTCGGGTGGTTTGCTTTTCCTTTCCATTTCGAATTTTGATTGTACAAGTCTCCGATGAAAGCCTCTGATGGATCAAGGAGTTTATGCATTTACGTGGGGCTGGAGGGGTTGAAGTGGAACAGCTCTCAATGTTATACTATCTTCTTTACTTGGGGATTTCCTTGGTATATCGTTTCTCTAGTATTCTTCTATCGGGTATGTTATGTTATGACCTTTGCTTTTCCATCTTTCTCCGAAATGAAATTCATTTTACTCCTTTCGATGTGTGTCAAGAGCATTTTCAATGGGCGAAGTGGTTTTAGGATAGCAGTTTCGGGGACAACTTCGATCGAAGACATGAGAGGTGGTTTTTTGTGGTATGTGGTGTTGTTGTGTTGGCGTCGCTTTGGTACTATCTGTGTTTGTGGATGCACAAGCTGGGGGTTATAGTAGAGTAAAGATCCTTTGGGGAGAGGGGAGATGTCGGGGTTGAAGATGGGGTTTGATACAGTTTACGATCAGTTACCACGCTGCATAAGTATATATAACTCATGCGTCCTAAAGGAATTCGATCCTATTTGTTCCATGCGATGATGTACCAGTTAGCATAGATAGGTAGTAGTGGGTATATTACTTCATTCGCTCTAATCATTCGGTGCAATAAGAAGCTAAGATGTTGGTCATCTGTAAGGGCACCGAGGGATATAACTTGGCTACATTCATTTTATCAATAGGTATAGTATAGTCTTCGTCGTTCGTGTAGTGGTCGGTTTACGAGGTTGCTGAGACACGACTGTATGCAATTTACTTCCCTACAAGTGGGATAAAGAATGTGGATATACGCTGTCATTGGCAAAAATAAATAGCTTATGCCAAGCTTAAAGGTATCTCTACTTTTGCTGAATTGCACACGCTCAAAAGGGGATAGTTAAATCCACCTCATGTGACCGACTCAAGCAAACAAGCATGAACAGACAAACAAAGTGGGAATAGGGGTAGAAAGTAAGAAAAGAGAAGAAGAGATAAAAGAAGTGTCAATCCAATGACAAAAGTAAGCCAAGCCAACACAAACGATACGAGAGTAACAAACAAAGAACTAACGCCCTGCTCAATCCAATGCGATCGTAATCGTAAATCAGCTTACAGCTGTAGTCATCCAAACCTCACAACCCCCGTAACAAACTCCCCTCTGCGAACGGGTTGTCCGGCGACATATCCAACATTGGTTTCGCGGCATTGCGATCCCCCGTTGCCACACCATGGCCGACCGGAGACCCTTGGATATTTTGGTGCGGTGTAGATCGTGCCAACAAACTGTTAGGGATGAACGGGCCGTCTTGGCTGCGCAGATTCTCCCCGTCGGTTGGCGTGGTCGGAGCGGTATGATGGTATCGCTGTTGGTTGTTGACGCTGCGGGCAGTGTTGGACCGATTGCGGGTGCGGACCTCCGGCATGGGCGGTTCAGGCGGCACCTGCGGTCTTCGCCAGGTGGTGGCGGAGGGTATTTGAGTTCCGCCTGGGGCTTCGGGCCCCGTGGCGGCGTCGATTAGGGGCAGCCCTGGTTCCACGGCGATACCGCGGCCTTTACGGATGTGTTGTGGAGGCTCTTGGTAGACCGGGGTTAGGTCGACGAGGGGTTTGTTTTTCATGGATTGCGTGCGTCGCATGAGGTTGGGGTCTGGGCCGTGACTGGATGTCATGGTGTTGGTACGGCTGGGGTGGCGGGAGCCCATGGTGCCGATCAGCCCTTGTTTGATGAGTTCTTCGTTGTCTCGTTTTTCTTGCTCTTCGCGCTCTTTCAATGCGCGTTGGCGCATGGTGTAGGTTCGGCCGAGAAGGCCGGATGCTGAGAAGGGGGCTTCATCCGAGGACGAGCCTGTAGCGAGGTCGGAGTCGCCGGTGAGAAGCTTGGGGAACGATGTAGGTGGAGGCCCACGCTCGCGGGTGCTCTTCTTGTGGGAGAAGAGCTCCTTGGTCTTTGTGGATTTGGCGCGTTCTAACGCGGGTTGCGACGGTTTCACCTCGTTGGCTGGTTCCTCAAAGGGGTTCAGCAAGGGCTTGAATGGGGCCTCATCCGGCTGCATGGCTTCTGCTTCCGCCGGCTGGCCTGCCCCCAGCTTCGTCACCAGGTACCAGCTGCGCCAGGTTTGGACGGCCCGGTACCAGCCATCGGCAGTCTCGCGGTCGTTGGTCGAGAAGAAATGGACAAAATTCTCCGTCGAGAGGAACATGTTGGATTTTTGCTGGCTCTTGACAGCCTGGCAGAACTTTTTGGGCGGCTTGACATTGTTCGCGAGGTAGCTGGCGGTAGGAGAGTAGATGTCGAAATCAGAAAGGTGGCAAGCGTTGGTTGCATCTTGGGCATTCTCCTTCTTGGAGACGGTCACTTGGCCGTCGGACCGGAGGGTCACGTAGCGTTTATCCCATTTGCGAGGCCGCTGCGAGTAGTACATGTAGTAGGTCACATCCGCGGGTGGACCGAGTGACACGTTCCGCGCATCGAGCAGGGTTAGCGCATCCAGACTAGCTGCAGGGACGACAATCAATGTGTTCTGTTCGTCGTGGGTCCAAGAATTCAGCACCTCCCGTACGTATTCGTAGCGGCGCAATGGCCGTTCCAGCCCCAGCTCCGCGAACGACTCCATCAGGATGAACTTTTCTGGGTCTACCCCGGCATCCATCTGCTCCAATGCAGTCGCGACAATGTCTTGAGCAGATGTGGAGGGAGTGATGCAGATGCGCGCAGATGATTTGCGGTATTGAACCAGCACCCGCCGCTCGCGCGCATTGACAGCCGATACCGGCGCATCAATCCCTGGGAACTGAGCAGGCACCGTGGTATCAATCGCAGGGACTGCTGACGCATCGCCGTGCGCACTTCTGCGATGCGCTGGGTTGGCTGCATCACTGACCGACTGGCGCCTCGGTTCCATGCTCGCGCGACGACTCGCCGAAGCGGATCCAGTCTGGGGTTTCCGATGCTCCGATTCCTTATGGGGACGACGAACCGCATACTCCTCAGCTTTGTCGGCTGATCTATCGCGCGACGCAGGTTTTGAATGAGTTGTAGACACTGACTTCGCTTCGCCGCCGGTCAGCCGATCCATCGCATTCTGTCGGTGTCTTTCGCGCTCCGCCTCATCATCCTCCGGTTTTTCCTGGTGCCGCTTCTCTCGCGCGGCCAATTTGCTCGCCAGCTTGTTTCGCATTCGCACCATCTCGGCGCCCTCTGAGTCCTGAAAGTGTGGGTGAACAGGACCTCCATTGGCACTGGGGTCGACTTGCGCTTTATACGCCGGGGGAGGGGCTGGGACGGGAGGTTGTGTATCGGCATCGGCAGATTGCGCAGTAGGAGCCCTGCGACGGTATCGCGACATGCTCCTCTGAACGGAGCTGGAGCCATTGCTGGAGCCATTGGGGAGTGCTGGCCGGTCATGCGACGGCGGCGCGGAAGCGACAGGCGGGATGGGCAGCGGCGGGGGCAGGGGGCAGGATTGCGGTAGTGGTGGTGGTGGCTGTTTCGCCGCGGCTTTTCTCACGGAACGGTAACGGGAAAATTTCATGGGTGTCGGGTGCTGGCCAGCAACCACTTGATGATCCTGCTTCTCCATCGCCATGGCTGGGAAGACTTCGTTCTTTCTTTTTATTGTAGAAAGGGCGGTTTCAGCAGTTCACCACGAGGCTTATAAAGCAAAGCGCATTGGAGGTGCAGATCGACAGGGAAAAGTGTAGAAGAATAAAAGAAAAGAAAAAAAATACAATGGCGTCACCCACCAGTTGGGCAAACAAAACAGGTTTTATGCTTTTTTAGCCTGGTATTTATTTCTTTTTTTGCCAGGGTGGAGGGGTGCATTCAAAGGATTCTGGAGAAAGTGCGGTATACGTTATGAGAATCATCCACGAGGTGCAGTAGCGGCGCAGCAGTAGTGGGTAAGTTGAAGGGAGAGAAAAGGAATCAGAACACCAAACAGACGAGTTGCATGCTGGTGATTTGGTGAGAGAGCAGACAAGGGCGAAGGGATTGGAACAAATAATGGGGGGTCGCGTGTCTCCACCCCCTAAAGGTTGCAGACATGTTTCACAGGGATAACAATTGCTTCGTGCAGGTTGGGGGGAGAGAGATCCCTTAGTCTAGTCTGTAGGTTGGAGAAAATAGAACAAGAAATAAATAAATAAATAAATAGAAGAGCAAAAGGGAAATTGAAGAATGGGGGGAAAGGGGCGGGGATAGAAAAGAAGAGAGGAGAGGATGAGTGAGGAGAGAAGAGAGAGAGAGAAGAATGGAAATTGAATGAATGAATGATCAACGGCACGATGGAAAGACGATTAATGGACAGGACTGGACTTGTGTCTGTGTGGACTCTAAGTGTGGACTGGACTGTGTGGACTGTGGAGGAGGAGCAGCCCAAAGGGTCCAGGTGGTTCGAGTGGAGGATGGTATGGGTTTAATTTTAAAACGGTGGGAAATACTAGTGACCATCTGGGTTTAGCATGGATCGATTGATTGATTGATTGCCAAATGAATCCCGAGTAACCATTTTACTAACCACTAACCACTAACTACTAGTAGTGTATGTACTCCCGTACCACAGTACATACACAATACATACTAGATACTGCTGATACTTCCATGGAAACCTGCAGCTTCCTTCCACCTGCTACCTGTCGGGCTACCTGCAAGGGGTGTGCAGGGGACTACTGCGATGGAATGCATGCTAGATCCTACTAGTATCGTACGATCCCCCCCTGAAAACCATGAAAACCACCGAATTATTATTTCACAAAGGGAAACAACAAAACAATCCATTGAACGGGAGATTCCCGGATTCCGTGGCGGTCGCAGCAAAGCATAAAAATTCCTCCGCCGCTAAAAGTGGCAGTTGATTCCAATTTTCTGACAGTCTGACAGGCCCCATTCCACCTTCCATTACTCGTCAATCATTGACCGCGCTATAAATATGATTAACCTTTTATTTTACCTCGTCCACATCTCCAGGAACTAGGCTAATTTCTTGCCGTGATCCCCTCCCTCCCCCCTTCTTCGGACCAAGTGGGGAGGGAATGCCAGGGGTCTCAACACGCGACGGCTTCAGAAATTAGTCTGATTCAGAAAATCCTAATACTTAGTTAATAGTTACTCATACACGTGACTAAAAGATACTCCAAATCTATCATATACAGTAGAAGATCATGTTCCCCCTCCTCTCTTCACCGTCCCATACACGAGTGTCGTACGGATTTCTGTGGGTCTCTTCCATGAGGTCTTCCTCCAAACTTTTATACCTATACACAAAGGCAAAGAAAAAAAAAAAAAAAAAAAAAAAAGAGAGAGATTGGGTGTAAAGATAGAACTATGTTCCAGTAATAGAACCTACGTGGGTTTGTACCGGGAATGCCGGCAAACTAGGGGTGTTCTCCAGGTCGTTCAGCGACTCGGCAGAGCATCATAGCTGTGCTCAATTCATGGATAATAACTACTAACACTATACATTAGACGAAACGTCCCGGGATATGCCCAAAAGTATCCTAATCATGAATAGTATGTACTAGATAGTCCGAAACCTCTATCACGTGCAAAGTATGAGAGCCATTCTTAACTCCAGTCTGACCCTGTCGCACTGATTTCTGGACCCGTTGCCTGTGTATACCCTATCAGCAAGTCATCCTTGTATAGAACACTCGTGCTCAGCGAGTTCCCTAGCTATTAGTGCATGGTTTGACTGGGATATTAAGATCTGCTTTTCGGCTTCGACTTCCAAGACCGCCCACCTTATCAATGGTAGAACTTTGGTGCTCAATGCGACCACGTTGTCCACAGTCAGCAAGGGACTTGTTGTAGGGTTTAATTACCCAGATAAGAGATCATCGATCACATGTCTTCATCTGATCTAACATCTGTACTTTGTCATGCTATCGCCGCTAGTTTATTGCCTTCAAATCAAGGATCTTTATCAACCGAGATACTATTTGCTTCTCAGAGGTCCTTATCCCTGTTTCTATCGGAGGACTAGCTATATCTTCTCAAAAGGCACTGCTATTTTCGCAAGAAGTCCTAGAAAGCAGTGACGTAATGATGCCAAGTAACATAAGAGACCCATGGTTGGAGGCTATTTTCCAGTGAAAGAGAGTGTGCTTATTTGTCCGACAAAGACATCAGTCGTAGCCACCTGATTTAACCATCTGCGATTAGGGGGATGATCGGTCAGGACTGGAAGGATTTATTTACGGTGAAGGTGAGGTTTTGTTGAGTAGAGGAATCAAGTGAGCCGTATGTTGAAATGAGATTTAAGAATAACAGGAAGTTTGGTCAGAATTTGAAGCCAGAATACGGCAAATAGTACGGGATCCGTTCATGGATACGATGGACGGCATGAAGAGTGACCCCCAGGCCAAGTATGGCCTTTTATCTCCCAGATTCAGGGTTGAGGGCTCTGTTGATAGTATATTTTCAGGTTTCCTGCGCCTGTCTCAAGTACCGAACCGAGTCAACCAATGCTCAAAAAGGACTGGGCGTGCGGTCTCCTGATCGAACAGAGATTCAGCCTAGAATCAGTAATACAGACGAGGAGCTTACTTTGCACATCCTCCAAGGATTTTCCCTTCTCACAAGGGAGCAGCCAGGATCTCTTGCCACTCAATTTGCTCCCAGCATTTGAGTAGTCATCTGGGTCAAGACTGTACTGTGACCCGAAGAGATGGCCGCTAGCCCAGTCTTCTTGTTCGTTGATGAAGACATGTTCAGGCGCATAGCCACTATCCTCTGACTTGTTTTCATTCAACACCCCGAGTTTCGCCACAAAGTCATTTTCGTTCGCAAAATGCTCGGTGCGAAGAACGTGCGAACTGAGGTTTGTAAAATCGTCCAATTGGTGGTTGTCAAGGTTTGCTTGCTCAATAACTTGTTCACTCATTTCCCATTTCCAGTCGACGCTGGGGTTTCCGAATGTGAATATGCAAAGGTGTTTCTTCATTCTTTCAGGGATGTCGGTATCGTTGACTGAATCATTCAATATTTGTTCCAATGCTAGGCGTAGAAGCAGACAGCCCTGAGAATGAGCTATCATCACGACATGCTTGGGCTCTGGATTGGCGTTCAAGGCCGACTTCAATTCCTTTACCAATGACTTCTGTGCCATCCTGCTGCTCTTTGTTCTTTTGATAAGTTTCTTCTGTTCTCTTGCGGTGCCAGTTCTCTGGACGGTCCTCTCGCCTGCACATTCAACCAAGTCCCAAAGAAGGCCATCACCCCTATTGAAAACTCCTCTTATATCTCTTGAATATTGCGTTGCTAGTTTCTTGCAAGCAAGATGCAACCAGAAGAGCTCTCCACCTACACCATTGACAAATAACCACTTCTCATTTACTGATATGTCTTTTGCAGGGTTTTCAACAGTGATGTTTGAGTCGACGGACTTAACGTCGCTTCCGAGTGTGGTTGCATCGGTAATGCCAATGTCTTCCAGCCCGTCAATATTGACAGTTTTGCCCATTCCCCCCACAATGAAGATTAACGACTTGGCGAGCCTCTGAAGTTGACAGATTACAGCGTGTCGATTCATATGTTTTGATGCGTCCAATTCATTGTATGCACCGCGCAGTGACCCTTTGGCCGTTTCAGTGGTTGAATCTGCTGGAATATAGTCTGCTGGGGCATAGCACTTGGCAGGTTCGATAAGGTCAACCAAAAACTTCGCCAAATCACCGCCATTGTTCCAGATAGCTCCCAGGGTTGCCGAAGTGACATCGTTGCTGATTATGCCTTCGTGTATGATCCGAAGTGCTCCCACCTTGGCAATTATTGCCTTCACAGTCACTGTTGTGAGCTCCTTCACGATTTTAAGAAGTGATTCTGGATCGATCTTGTCCAACATGGACTTGATCAATTTGAATAAGCATTTGGTCGCTTCTTGAAGCAGACTGCCCACAGGTTCTGTGTTTATCTGCTCGGTTATCCTGACAAGAAGCTTTGTCAAAGTCTCCAGAAGAAGTTCCGGGCTTATCAGCTTCTGAGATCGTTTTAAAACTGCGTCAATAAGCCCACGAACCGAATGTCCGCTAGCCTTTTGAAATATGCGCGTCGCAGACTCGATGATGCTGTCCGCATGGCCGATACTGTCTACCACAAACGTAGACGCAGATGTAGCAGCATACCCCAGCCCCCCAAGAACGTCACCTAAGAGATTCATCATCAAGGTTGTAGCGGTTCTCAACAAAAGGCAGAGTGTGGGAAGAGCTGATGGGTATTCTCTGACTCAGTGATAGAGGAATGTAGGAGGAAACCACACCCGCTGACCCATCCTGTTTATCTAGGCAGATTATTTAATTAGCCACAGTCTAGTGTCTGTTCTAGTGTCATAGTTCAATTGTTGTAGTTTTCAAGAGCAATTTGGGGTGGAGTTCAAAGTCAAGTTCAGTCACAGGGACATGGTCCCCACATCAGACCTTACTGCTTGTGATTGTATCCAGCATTAAGCTTTACGCCATATGCATCATGCCAAGATCTGGACCCTTCGCTTTTATCGGTTCCGCATCTGCTTTCTAGGTAGGTCAAATAGTGCCTTCTCGATTAATTTTCTTCGCTCGGAGAGTTCAACACATTCGGTATTCAACATGACTTGCTGCCGAGGAAGTCGCTTTTCAAGGCTATAGCCATCAATTTAGCGTGCAAGGACATGCACATCCCCGACTCAACTAGTAGGAAGGGTGATGTCAAGTGAGGATCAACCCTACTTTGGGCCATTCGAAGCTTCAATCTGGGGAATGGGTTTAAGCTTATAACCCCGCCCGGATCACGGATACTCAAACCGAATGCGGCGATTGTACGCACTGTTTGAAGTGGAGGGGCTGGACTGAATACGAACAAAGTTAGCTTGCCGACCTACTCAGTCTTAGAGGCTACCCCTTATGCATAAGAGATACGACTCCTAAATACGAAGTCGGAGTCTAGCCATTGCATCCACTTTCCTGAAAAGACTCTCTGACCGTGTTCATGGTCTTCATCAGACGTTCTCATAGAGTTGGCCTCTTCAAGTAGTTAGAATAAAGTTATGAGGCCTCGTAAACTGTATTTAATGCGTCAGGAAGAGCCATGGATGTCGGGGTGTATATAGAGGATAAAGAACAGTCTAGATGTAGCACAGTGCATCTTTTTGAGTTACTAGGTTATCCATACCGGTCAGTAAATCCACTGGGTCTCGACTCATAGATCGTGCTTGGGCCACCTCGGTTCGGGTGGCCTTTTGCTATAGAAGAAGGCATCTTTTTAAGATTGAAGAGTGTAAATTTCTGATTCATTTCATTGCGAAGCTAGTTCGGGAGAAGATGAAGCAAAGTAGCACGCGAAGAGTTGAAGATGCGGACGACGGAGATCCTGTTTAAAAAGGTGCGGGTAGAACCCGCAACAGATCTTGAGATGTCCAATGGGATCAGCACTCACACACCATCTCATGACAGTCAACTGAACCCATACAGTGGTTTCAGTGAGTTAGCCAACGAATATCGAGAATTTGTTCAGAGACTCGCAGGCCAGTGGCCTGGATTATCCTATCTCGATGCTTATCTTCAGGATCCTCAATATCTCCAGAGACAAACTTTCGGAATCGTGCTCGTCAAGCCAAGCAACGTTCCTCCCGTACAGCGTGACCTGAAATTGGACGAGGTTCTGCCCGAATTGGATGATGGTTCAAGCCCAATACTTATAGTTTTGGAAGACCCCACTCCCAGGATGGTTGCAGAGCTCGGAGGGCAACTGCGAATTGATCCTCAATTTTGGGCCGATTTCCTGGTCGGTCCGTCGTGGTTTGGGTCAGGAAAGGTAGATATTGGACCCGGTGAACCAAGCGTCCAATACAGAGATGACAGCCTGCTAGAGCAGCTTTGGCCGTTACCAAGGCCTGCGAGGCAGCAGGAGCATTTTTGTTTTCGGTTTGTTGCCCGCAGAGAGCCAACACCAGGTAGCTCTGAGGTTTGTGTTGGCGCAAATATGGATGGCTATAGTTCACTATCAACGTTCTATCCCATTTGTGGTGATGCCAAACCGGGGCCTCCAATTTGCGCCAACTCAATCGGTCTACGCAATAATCTCACTGTATGGGAAAACCAGCATGCGCGGAAGAGGGCCAAGGGTGAAACTGAAACCCCATCACGGGATATACCGTGGATAGGTGAGTGGCTTACAGCTCCAAGATTTGTCTTCAGGAAGTAGTAACACTCAACAGGTGTCATTGTGGTGAAGAACCAAAGTAGCAGGATACCGGTCTGCGAGCCAGGCTTTTCATATATATTCCGAGAGTTCCTTCCTAGGCCACGGTTTGTTGAACACTTCGTCATGGATAATCTGGAGATCTCAAAAGAATGGGAAGGACGGCCTCAACGAGCTCCAAAATCCAATTATTCCATTAAGGAGATCCTTTGGTACCACCTCACCTGCCATCTCGAGAAAGATGATTTTCGTAATGCCGCATTGACATCACCGAGCCTTCTATTCGTCGACGTTCTTCAATTGATCGGTTGCTTCTGGGTGGCTGAGATTGAATCTAAACACTTGCAATTATCCTGGATGGAGGTGTATTATCAGAAGGAGGTTATTATACGGAGACGGAAGTTTCCCTCCCTCCTGGATCCCCTATATCCAGATCCAAATGGCAGTCTCTCTGCAAGGCTCCAAGCAGACTTGATTGGATTACACAGTGATCTGATTAAAATTGAGCCGTACGAACAATTTATACACGAAGCTGAAGAGTATTGCAAAGCTCGAGAGCAGCTCACCGGTCTGCCAGATTACTCGGACTTAGCTAACGACTTCGCCTACCTGCAGAAGGCCGTCTGTCGCTTGAACAAACGAGTTAAAAGGATTATGGGCTTTTTGAAGTCAATCGAGGACGACTTTGAGAAATCACGTTCAAGATACCGAAACATGTTGCTACTGATTCTGGCACTGTGGGCCTGGTTGGTTTCACCAGTTTCGGTGACTGCTTCAATAATGAACTTAGGGGAGAGCAGAGAAAGCAGTGCCGTCAAAGTTGGGGACGTTCAAGTATTTTGGAAAGTTGTGGTTCCTCTTGGAGTTGGGGTGGTTTTGCTTGTTGTGTCTTTGCTTTGGATCACGGAATTCTTTACTTTGAAGGCGACGCGAAAGGCAAGTCGCTCTAGGAGGTACCGTTGATATTGTTTTGTAGGCTGTGTAGCTTTTCATCTCACTATATCCTTGAAGCGACTTCTTCACACCTGTATTGAATTCTACACGATTGGCATAATATCCCGCTACTTCCAGCCTAGCATATTACTTTAGTATCAGCTCTATCATTGCAATGTATTTTTCTATCTACTCTCGTCTTTACAATATGGCTCTGTCTTGAGACGGCGACTATTAAACTATATCTTCACTTGACTTCAACGACCTACCAGATTTTAGATTATTATACTGCTGTATCGGGTGCGACCCACCGCGGATTAAACATTCAACATGTCAACAATGGGTGTAATCTTCAACAAGCAACTACAGCAGCTCCTACTTGTACACACCTTAGCTGGATCCGTTCCCCGGGATGATCATCGGTTGTTTCATTTTGTTTCAGACACCAAGCAGCGCGCGTGATTTCATGCTAGACAATTTGCGCAGCATGGGGCTCCATACTACTAGTAGACTAAATTATTCAATCAATTTAATGCTTGTACGCTCCCAAGTGTTTCCGCCTGCGTCCGACGTTAGCCCCTCGACTACGCACCAACGATGATCCCAGTAAGGAAAGGAATAACTTACCACCACGACACAAAGTCAACCGTCCGGAGATCAATGCCGAGCTCTTTCAGCGCTTTGGTCGACAGGTGAGTGTCGTAGGGCCGCTGCACACTCGCATTCGGGTCGTTTCCTTGCTTGTTCCGCACCATTCCAACCAGGGACAGTCCGAGCACATCCGCCAGCTTCTCACAGATCTCGTACTTGGTCATCCGGTCCTCCGATGAGAATTGCAGGACCTTGGGAAGCTCCTGGATGCGCTGCCGCTCCTTGACGTACTTGATTACAATGTCACGGCACACTCGTGCAACGTCTTCAGTGTTGGTGGGATAGCGCTGGGCCCAGTCGTCCATCTTCACTCCCGCGTTCTCATCTTGGGCCTTGTACACCGCATCGATTAGGGTGTTAACGGCGCTCTCCGAGTTCTCCTTGGCAGTTCCATACAGCACGGGCACCCGCAGCACGATTCCTAGCCCAGTGTCCTTGGTGGCTTCCAGCACGGCCAACTCGCCATCCCGCTTGAACTGCCCGTAGAGGTTGGGCGGGTTGGTCTGCGCATCGGCCTCGTAAGGCGCCTCACCCTCCTTGCCGGGGAAGACATAGTCGGTCGAGATGTAGACCAACAGGGCACCACGGCGGGCGGTCTCTTCTGCGAGGATGCGGGTGGCGTCAACGTTGACCCGACGCGCCTGGTCCGGGTTTTGGTCGCACAGGTCGGGGAAACGGTTTGCGGCACCTAGAGCGGAACGGTCAGCGTGCAACTTGATGCAGGTTGGCTGCATTTCCAAGCAGGAGGTGGCGTACAATGGATGACAATTTGAGGTCTGCAGGGGCACGGACATCAGTCAGATTGAATTCGTGAACAACGCGGGTGTGAGATGGGGGGTATTGAGTGTGAAATGCAAGGCGGAAGTCGTATTCAGGAGTTGAATTACTTCGCTTCGTTCAATAGATTCTTAATGTCCTCCTCCTTTTCCAAATCGGCCTTCTGTATCGTGGGAGGTATGGCTCTGGAATAGCCTTGACCAACGACCAGACAGCCGGAGTGCTTGAAGGTATTGAATACCTGTCGGCCTAGAAGGCCGGTAGCACCAGTGACAAGAACAGTGGTCGACATGTTTCCGAATTGCGTCTCAGTAGAGGACATGGTGAGAAGAGATCAAAAGAAGGGGGGACAATGACGCGCTGAAGAGATGTTTCTGGTAGCTGGTCAACTGCGGGGCATCTTCATGACGTAACGACGGGTGAGTCTCTTACTGTTCTATTTTCTTCGTGGAAGAGTGGGTGGGCAATTGAGGGTCTGTTACGGTGAACTGATCGGGATGGATGGGTCGAGACACAGCGTAATGGGCCAGGCACAATTGATCCCCAACTGGACTTGAGATGGATGTACTGTTTTTCTATTTGTGAGGCTGCATTGATGCGGGGCTTGGCACCTCGTGCTTTGCCTCGATTCCTTTTTGGGTAATCCCTTGCCCTCAGTTTCATCCACCAACAATACTATCACAATTGGTTATCATGACACTCCATTGGCCTTGAATGTCAATTAATGAGGGACTATCTGGAATTACCATTTCATACTGCATCAATTGGTCCAACCCCATACAACTGGAATTCTCATCTTTCCACCAGTCCCATATCCCGGTCGCGCTACTCAATATCAAGGGATATTAACATAACGTCACTGGTTATTCAATCCCAAGTCAAACAAGAAGAGCATCGTCATCATAATGGCCATTCATCCCGATTATCCGCGGCAAACTGTCATCCTCCCCTCCAGCATTCCAATCCAGGGCGCATAGGGTAAACCGAGATCTCCGCCGTACAGGCCGATACCGCCCTTCCGACGGGACGGAAGCACCACCGGAGGACCTCCACAACTCCGACCGGTAAGCTTTTTAGACTTTCAGATATAGCCTTTGGCTCTTCTCCGTCTTCCTCACCACCACCACCCATCATGTCCGGTGCCAGGAACCTCTCCGTCGCCCTCAGACGGGCTCGCGTGCCCAAGCCTCGCTCTTTGCTGCGTCCTCTGTCCGTCTGCGCCCCGTCTCCCGCGACCACTGCCGCCCGCGCCTTCAGCGTCACCTCCGCGGCCAATGCGACCAAGGAGATCAAGTACACCAGCAACGCCTACCCCAACCTCAAGCGGGATCCCAAGTTCGCCGAAATCTCCGCCGATGATGTTGCTTTCTTCAAGGAATTGCTGGGCGCCCAGTCCGCCGTGATCGATGGCGTTACCGCCGACGCGGCCGACGATATCGAGCCTTTCAACAGCGACTGGATGCGCAAGTACCGCGGTCACACGAGACTGGTTCTCAAGCCCCAAACAAAGGAGGAGGTTAGCAAGGTGCTGCAATACTGTAACGAGAAGAAGTTGGCGGTGGTTCCTCAAGGTGGCAATACTGGATTGGTTGGCGGCTCCGTGCCGGTGTTTGACGAGATTGTCATCAACCTGTCTCGCATGAACCAGATTCGCTCGTTCGATGAGGCTTCCGGTGTGCTGGTTGTCGATGCCGGTGTCATCCTGGAGGTTGCCGATCAGTACCTCGCTGAGCGCAACCACCTGTTCCCCTTGGATCTGGGCGCCAAGGGTTCCTGCCATGTCGGTGGCAATGTGGCTACCAACGCTGGTGGTCTGCGTCTCCTCCGCTACGGCAGTCTCCACGGCACCGTCCTCGGTGTGGAGGCTGTTCTGGCTGACGGAACCGTCGTCGACGCTCTGTCGACCCTGCGCAAGAACAACACTGGATACGATTTGAAGCAGCTGTTCATTGGTTCCGAGGGCACCATCGGTATCATCACTGGTGTGTCCATCCAGTGCCCCCCTCGCCCCAAGGCCGTCAATGTCGCCTACTTTGGTCTCGAGAGCTACGACCAGGTTCGCCAGGCCTACCAGGAAGCCAAGGGTCACCTGTCGGAGATTCTCTCCGCCTTTGAGCTCATGGACGGCCGCAGCCAGAAGCTCGTCAACGAGTCCACTGGCACCAAGTATCCCCTGGAAGGCGAGTACCCCTTCTACTGTCTCGTTGAGACCAGCGGATCCAACGCCGAGCACGACATGGCCAAGCTGGAAGGATTCCTGGAGCACATCATGGGTGAGGGCATTGTTGCGGACGGTGTCCTAGCTCAGGACGAGACCCAGTTCCACGCCATCTGGCGCTGGAGAGAGGGTATCACGGAGGCGCTGAGCCACTTGGGTGGCACCTACAAGTATGACGTCTCCATTCCTCTGCCGGAGCTGTACCAGCTGGTCGAGGACTGCAAGGAGCGTCTGACGAAGCTTGGATTCGTTGGCGACGACGATTCGTTCCCTGTCCGTGCTGTTGTGGGTTACGGCCACATGGGTGACTCCAACCTGCACCTGAACATCTCGGTGCGCCAGTACAACAAGGAGGTCGAGAAGGCCATTGAGCCTTGGGTGTACGAGTGGATCCAGAAGCGGAATGGCAGCATCAGTGCCGAGCATGGTCTCGGTCTTGCGAAGAAGGAGTTTATCGGATACAGCCAGAATGATACCATGGTGAAGCTGATGAAGCAGCTGAAGGGGCTATACGACCCGGTGAGTATACTGCCAAATATCGATGGTGCTTTACTGATGATTATAGAATGGAATCTTGAACCCCTACAAGTACATCTAGATTTGCAGCATATTGGAGTTACCTTGATATCATACTTTAAAAATGGAGATTATTTGAGCCAAAAGCAGCGTAAGCTATCATGAGCACCAATCTGCTTTAATCAGAGTATACGTAATATCCACATTGGAACCATCGACTTGATCCCTCGTTTTACATATCAATCTGACGTGAGATTTTAGCGAATATATATAATGAGAGGGGTATAGCCTAGTCCCTATTTCCGATCCTATCATACCTTCTTCCATTTGCAAGAATCAACCATTTCTACCCTGCAAGCAGCTAATTAACTATCAGCCACACACATATCCCTGTCCATACCAAGGACAATCCTCATGGGATTCACCATATACATAGCATATCAACCCCAATACACTACAGAGTATACAACATAAACCACTCTACCAAACCCACATCCACTCCATCCCACTTCCATATTCCATATCCCACGGAAACGATTCCATCTAACTCCGCAAACTCCGCACCTACCATCCAGCCCCATCGGAGTAAATGGCATTAACCTTCAATCCCCGGAGGATCACCAATCCATACCTTAGCGACGGGCCATAGATAAGCTTAGCTGTATTCATCTCCACCCACACCACCTAGTATAAAGACAACACACATTCCTCCTGCAACCACCTTTCTCCCCACCCCCCAAACCCCCAACAAACCCTAAGTAAAAAAAAAAAAAATGCCCCAAACGTGGCTCATAACCGGCACATCCTCCGGGCTCGGCGCCTCCCTGGCCCTCGCGGCCCTCCGCGCCGGCCACCGCGTCCTCGCCACAGCGCGCAACACCAGCACAGCATCGACTCTGCAACCCGAAATCACCTCACTAGGCGGGATCTGGATTCCCTTGGACGTGAACGACCCCGACACGCCCACCATCATCCAAAGTGCTATCAACACGCACGCAGACGGGGTCATCGACGTCGTCGTCAACAACGCGGGATACTCCCTGCTAGGGAGTATCGAGGACATGAGCGAAGCGGAGATTGAGTCCCAGTTCAATACGAATGTGTATGGACCGATAAGGGTGTTGAAGGGCGTGTTACCGTTTATGAGGAAGAAGAGGGCCGGGACGGTGGTGAATGTTAGTAGTAGTGCGGGCGTGGATGGTGCGCCGGGGTGTGCGGTTTATGCGGGGTCGAAGTTTGCACTTGAGGGTACGTCAAACTCACCTTTCCTTTCTATCTTATATTATCTATGATGTGATAGATATCTGTGTGTGTGGGTATATGCTAATGTTGGGCACTGGTGTTATGGGGACTCGACAGGCATGACAGAGTCCCTATCGAAAGAACTCCACCCCTTCGGGATCCGCGTTCTACTCATTGAACCTGGGTACTTCCGGACCAAGTTCTTCAGTGCGTTTGTGGCGCCTGCGGCAGGGTTGAAGGAGGATTATGTGGGGACGCCGGTGGAGGCGGCGCTGAAGTTGATCAAGGCGAAGGATGGGAGTCAGGAGGGGGATCCGGAGAAGGCGGCGCAGAGGATTCTGGAGGTGGTGGATGGGAATGGCATGGCGAGTGGGATTGCTGAGAAGGGGTTTTTGAGGGTGGTGTTGGGGCCGGATTGTTGGAAGAGGTTTTCGGGGAAGATTGAGGGGGTTAGGGAGAATTTGGAGGCCATGAGGGAGATTGCACATTCGACTAGTTTTGAGTAGGGGGTCTTATGTTGGTATGGGTGGATGGGGTTCGGTTGATGAATTGATTAGGGTTACTTGGGATATAGATATCAGCTAATAAAATCCATCGAAGATAGCTGTCCCTTCCATGAAACTAGCCATTAACCCCGCGTCCATCAGTTCGTAGGCCCGAAACATGCGCAACACCTGCAAGTCGTCCTCGGCCGCTTGGGCAACGCTACTACTCTGCTGCTGCGGCTTCGCCGGCACCAGCGCGGCGTATGCAGAAGCACGAAGCGACAGGAGTTTCTTGGTTGACTTGTCCAAGAATCCATTGGCTGACTCGTTTTCTTCACCTCTCGATGCCTTGGCTTGTTGCACGTCGTTGATCAGGTGGTCCAAGATCCATAGAACGTCCACAGTCGATCGCACCAGGTTTGTGTCCCAGATGGGGTCATTCATCGTTGACAGTGTCATGATGACTAGGATGCTCCGCGCGAGATAATTGAAGAAGGGGAACGAAATTCCGATATAGTCGTCGGTGGATGATATCTGGAAGAAGCTGTCCAACGCTGACCTGGCGGTTTCGAGACATGCGTGGAGTCCTTCGAGTCTTTGTAAGTCTGGGATGTCTTGCTTCTTTGAGAGGACGAGGCCGTGGATGCTCAGCTCGGTGTAGTACATCGAGGCACGGAATAGGCCTGTTCAGAAATGAGTCAAAGTTCTGACAATGGTATAATGAGTGGTGTACTCACTATTATGTTGCAAGTCGGGTGTTATACTCTGCTTGACCTCGTTGACTTTCCTCTGCAAAGCAGTGAGGTGAAACGCTGCCGGAACGGCCGTCGACGCAATTCGAATATGCTCCGCCTCTCTTGCAATTCGGTGCAATCGGACTTGGTGAGCGAATACTTCGTCAAGCGGCGTTTCACATTTCCGAGTCAGAGCTTCGAGACATTCTTCCATATGTGACGTCCATTGCATCGGTTGTATGTTGTCAAGACATGTCGATACACTGGCTACGTTAGGCATAATCACATAGAGGCATGCAATTAGACTTACATGGAGCTCAAAATAAAACATGCTAGGACTGCTCGCTGCTCCTCGAGCGTCCGCGTTGGTGCCCTCGTTGAAGTGCAGCCGCCGAGTCCGGCAGTAAGGACATTAGAATCATCAGGAAGTGGCTTGTTAAGACGCAATTCGTAAACAACCGTTATAGCGAGTTGAGTGAATCGCGGCAGCCCCATTACGGTGTCATGTAGTAAGTGGTCGTAACCCCACGCT